TTTTATTTTTTATGTACTGTACATAATGACTACTTGGTAATAAAATTATTTTAATTACCAATAAAGAAAAATATATATTTTCACATACCAAAAAGTTGAAAAATTTATTAGCTTTAGATAAGAGTATAAAGTATAAACCTCCCTCCAATCAATTTTTACCTTCCTATACTACATATGAAACTTCATTATCCTCTCTAATCATGTTCTAACTTAATTACATGGGCATATACAATTTATTAATTATATACAATTAGTATTTATGAGTATCTTTTTATATTATGAATTGAATAGGAATTTATTTATTAGCCATCCTTGCTCTCTCTCTCTCCGTCTCTCTCTCTCTATCCTTCTCTATTCTTTTCCCAATTTTCTTCCTTCATTTTTCTCTGCTTTTTTATCCTCTCTTTTTCAGCAATTTCCTTTCATGTTGCACAATTAGTGTTCGAATTGAAATTATCAATCAATAAATTTTAAAAGTATTTGATTCTCCATCATTGATAGCCATTAAAAAGCTTCAAAGCTTTGAATTCGAATTTGGATTTTCAAAAACTATTGTTTGTTTGGATTGGGTGTTGTTGCAAATAATTAAAAATATTCTTTGAGTTTATATCTCATTTTTTAGGATGTTTGGTGAAGAAGAAGAAGACATGGCATACAATATACTTACGAATTTATATTAACATTGGCCACCTAATACACACACACACACACACACATATATATATATATATATATATATATATATATATAAAAAATCTGAATGTTGTATGAAAGTTAAAAAATAGTTGTTTAATATATGAATCGTTGTACAAAATATGTATTTAAGTTATAAATACTTTTTTTTTATATATAAAGTTGTTGATACGTATCAAAATTATTTTAAGAGAGGAAGTTTTGATTGGAATTTCAGAGAGGAAGATAAACATACCACTTACAAAATATATACAAATCATATACAAAATACAGACAAAAGACATATTGTATAAAATTTGTATGAAAATTGTATTTAAGTTGTATGATGTTGTAGTTGTATTTACCTGGGTAAGAATAATGTATCAAAGTTGTAGATAAGTTGTAAATAAATTGTATATTGTATAATTACTTGTATGAAATTTATTTTTAGCTTATAATATATTTTGCATATGTATCATAAAGATGGACATACCCATTACACAAACCTTCTCTCTCCTCTTTATCGCTCCTCCATCAAAAGTAACGATTCTTATAGAAATACAGTATGTAAATACAGAAAATTACCTATACATTCCACCTAGATTATTGTATAGGTTTTATATTATATATACATATTAACTGCGCATCATCATTCTCTGATAATATGGTAAAATATCTTTTATCATCACCTCTCTCTTATATTAATTTATATTTTATTTATGCAATCTAATCCTAGATTTGTGTAATACACCATAATTTAGATAAGGACAAAATATTTTAAAAAGAAAAAGACAAGAATATCAAATTTACTGTAGTCTACCCCAAACTTTAACTTAAAAGTTTCATATAATATTTGTAAGAGATTATAAGGAAAAACTGTATATACAAACTTCTTACAAAATGAGCTTGAACTCGTTTCATAGCCTCATAGATTTCGACTTTGATTGTAGGGATTTTTACCTATGTGCATCACGTAGTTAGGGATATGCTTTTTCTAATGGGTATTCAGATTAATTGTTGTTTAGATATCAGAATATGGGGTTTGATTGGAACAATTTGGTTGAATTTTGGTATGGAAATTAGTACCAAAGTTACGGTCATCATTGATTGGTTAGAGGATAGGGAAAGAGGATATGAGAGAAAAAAAGAAAAAATATGTAACTGAATCTATCAATTTAAGGCACTAATAATTAATTGTATATAAATTGTAAGGAAAATTTGCTTAGGGCGTGTAATATACAAAACTTGAACAAATTTGTTAAATAAGTTTCAAATATTGTATAGGAAGGAAAAAATCTCTTGTTATCAGCACTGTTGTTGCCATTGCAAAAACACTTGGTCCTTATTTATGATGACCCATTTTTGTGAAAAATAAACGAGTTCAATACAGTAACAGTCCATATCAAATTATTAATGTTAGACCGCATTCTTTTATTAATTCGTTACTTAGCTAGCGCACAAGACATAAATTTGGTTAAAATTTAAAAAAAATAAGTTTTTGTAGATGAGATAAAAAATAGTTTTGAAAGTTAAAATTGTGTTTGGACATGCATTTTATTTAAAGGAATTTGAAGTTTCGTGAGTACAAAACTTCAAAAATTACTCTAGAGCTGTTTTGGGATTTGAAGATTTTGTTTTCAACCAGTTCAGGTTCATGCCAGATCAATCGACTACGGAAGCTATCCACCTTATTAGGAGGTTGGTGGAACATTACAGGAATGGGAAGAAGGATCTGCACATTGTGTTTATTGACCTGAAAAAAGCATATGACAATGTTCCCTAGGGAGGTTCTCTGGAGATGCCTAGAGGCAAAAGGTATGCCGATAGCTTACATTAGGGCGATCAAGGACATGTATGATGGATCTAAGACTCAGGTTAGGACAGTGTGAGGCGACTCGGAGCATTTTTCGGTTGTTATGGGGTTACATCAAGGATCTGCGCTTAGCCCGTTCTTATTTGCCCTGGTGATGGACGCACTGACACACCACATTTAAGGAGAGGTGTCATGGTGTATGTTATTCGCTGACGACATAGTTCTGATTGATGAGACGCGAGGCGGTGTTAACAACATGTTGGAGGTTTGGAGGCACACCCTTGAGTCTAAGGGTTTCAAGTTGAGCAGAACCAAGACAGAATATCTGGAATGTAAGTGCAGCGCCGAGTCGGGGGAAGTGGGCATGGGCGTGAGGCTTGGAGCACAGGTTATCCCCAAGGGAAGTAGTTTTAAGTACCTGGGGTCGATTATCCAGGGAGGCGGAGAGATTGATGAGGACGTCACACACCGTATAGGGGTGGGTGGATAAAATATAGGTTAGCATCAGGAGTCATGTGTGACAAGAGAGTGCCACCGTTAATCAAAGGTAAGTTATATAGAGCTGTGGTTAGACCGACCATGTTGTATGGGACGGAGTGTTGGCCGGTTAAGAAATCTCATATCCAAAAGATGAAAGTTGCAGAGATGAGGATGTTGAGGTGGATGTGCGGGCATACTAGGATGGATAAGATTAGGAATGAAGTTATTCGGAAGAAAGCGGGCGTGACTCCTATGGATGACAAGATGCGGGAAGCGAGACTCAAGTGGTTCGGGCACGTGCGGAGGAGGAGCCCTGATGCTCCGGTGAGGAGGTGCGAGAGTTTGGCCCTCGCGGGGACGAGAAGAGGTAGAGAGCAGCCTACGAAGTATTGTAGAGAGGTGATTAGACAGGACATGGCGTTGCTGCAGATTTTCAAGGACATGGCCCTTGATAGGAAGGTGTGGAGATCGAGTATTAGGGTTGTAGGTTATGACGTAGTTGAATCCAGGGGTGAGGCTAGTTCGATATGGGTAGTCTTAGACTGCTAGGGGTTTATGTTGTGTTCTCCCTATCCTTACGTTTTCATAGCATCGGGCTTATTTTCAGGTTTTGTTATTGCATTTTCTAGTTTTTATGATGCTAATATTATTTCTTTGGTTTCTGTTTGATGGTACTAATATATTGTCCCTTCCCTTCTCATCTTTTTCGTCTTCTTGAGCCGAGTGTCTTTCGGAAACAACCTCTCTACTCTTTCGGGGTAGGGGTAATGTCTGCGTACACACTACCCTCCCCATACCCCACTCATGGGATTTTACTGGATCGTTGTTGTTGTTATTTTCAAAATCTGTCACAAATGGTTGAAATGTGTAAATAAATAGATATTTGAAACAAAATTTGAAAAAAAACTTCCAAATTTTATGATCAAACGGGAGCTTAAACTTTAATTTTCCAACAGTACCAATTCTTCCATTTCCTTCTTCACCTGAGCTAACATTACTATGTTTGTGCGAATTATCTAAAATTGTTTTTGTCAATTGTGATTCTGATAATTATGCTCACAAAAAACAAATACGTCGCAAAAATTTGCTCCTGGAACAATTATTTTTGAAAAACATTATTTAACATTGATACTTGTAGATGAACCTTGGCGTTAGTCCTCAAAAAGTGTTTAACAATATTTGATTTTTTATAAATAAAAAAGACAACCAAACATAATCACAGATATGTTTTGCACGAAATGAAAAACACATCTGGAGTAGTATTATAAATTTTCAAAACATTGACTAGTGGCTTTATGGCTAAAAAAACTTCCAAGTGATTAATTCTTTTCACTTTTTCCAAAAAAAAAAACGAAAAAGAAACGCGATAAAATTTCTCCTACTTTTGAATCAAACACTACTTGTACAGTATTTCGTTCGACTATCCTTATGTTACTGTCCACTGAGAAAGATTTGTAATTGTCGAAATTAGTTGCTTTGCACATTTTGCAATATGATATTTTTGAGTTCCTGAATTAAAGGAATTTTGATTTAATATTTAGGTTTAATAACTTTCCAATTTTGATACGAGGAAAATAATAATTTGCATTATTTATCACGATTTGTGTGTATCATCCTTGTTCAAGATGATCATTTTAACACTCCAATTTTATCGAATGTTGCGGCCGGACCAATATTTATCACATGGTTTATCATGAATGTCCTACTTTTAATTTTAAAAGTTAAATATATCTTAGATATAGCTCAAAAGAGTTGTTAAAATTGAACTTTAACCAACAAGGGTTGTGGTGAAGTAGTAAGTACTCATTCATTCTTAACCAGAGGTCTCGGATTCGAGTCTATGGGTATGGAGTCACCTTTGTTAGGTAGCGTTTTTCCCCCAATGTGGGACTTCCCGACGTGAATCCGGATTTGGTCGGATCCCAATATGAATACCGAACACCGAGTGAGAAACAAAAAAAATGAACTTCAATAAGTTAAAAGTGCTAAACAAAGAAGATCATATTGTGAATGCGAGAAATGCAAAGAAGGGAAATTACACATAGAACCAAAAACTATGTATTATTAGTGAAACAAAGAAGAGAGAAACAATACTCAATCCTAAGCAACAACAAAAATTGCGTCTCTAATTTGAAATGAAAACAAAAACTTAAAAATTCTGAAGTGGGAAAGAAAAATAAGAGCCCATTATGGTCCAGCCTAAAAGTATAAAATAGGATCTTCATTTGTTCAGGCCAGTGGCATATTTAACTGCATCAGCCGCCCCTTGTGCCTTCGCCTGCATTTGCTGTCCCGCCTATAAAATTGTCAACCAAATATAACACATGATGAGTAACTTTTTGTCTTATAAATCAGCTACGTATAAAATTATATGAGTTACACTTTAGTCATGTATATTATGGAACACCACAAAATAATGGAATAACAATGGCCAAACCTCCTGCATTGTTTCTTTAGCAGATTGTGCAGCATTTGCAGCCTTGTCCATCATCTGGTTACGCTTTTCCTGATGCATAACAATATATATCACGTGTTATCAAGCCAGAGCTACATAGTCAGAAATATGAATTGTTGAATTTCTTAGACATAACAAAATGCCACCAAGATGATTCAAAAATTGATGTATGTTGCAGGTTCAAGTCGCATACATGACATTCTTGTATATATTTTTTTAAATTTCACTTGTTAGAATTTCTAGTTTCGTCACCATTATCTAGCTACTGGCAAGCATGTTTTAAAGGGAAAGTGAATGTGCAAGAAATATAGCATATATATTACCTGGGCTTGGCCCTTGGCTTGGCCAGCTTGGTAGCTCATTTTCTGGGAGTTATCCATGATTATTTTTGTGTTTGAAAATTGATCAAATAGTGTTATAGACTGAGAGAAAACAAACTATATATTTTTTTGAAGAACTTGGAATTGCTTGTTGATGTGTTCTTTTAGACAGACTGGGTATTTATAGATCTTGAAACCCATTCAGTGCTTGACATTTGTTATTATAAGTTGAAGGCTAAGACACATTCTAGGTCTCAATAGGGGGAAGAAGATGCGAAAAATTAGTCTTTTAGTGGTTAAAAACCAAAAAATAGAAGAGGTAGGTTCTTAAGACTCGGATAAGTTTCTAGTCTTTCAAGTTAAAGTGTAATTTACTCTAATTTTCATATCATGGAAAAAGATTCGAATAAGTATACTTAGTTATTGTTATAAATCTGTATCGCTGTAATAAACAATTAAATCATTAAACTTTTTGAAATATATAAACAAAACAGAAAGTTAGTAATATTTGTTTAACGAAATAAATTTAACAGAAAGTTAGTAATACTTGTTTAACGAAATAATTTTTGAAAAATCAGTATAGGAATAAATTGAGCCCACTGAATACACAGTGTGTCCTTAAGAAAATTATTCCCCTCAAGTACCCGAGTTACTGGAATATATCCTCCCAGGATAGAACGATTTAACTCACCGGAGTGTTGGTACCAAAACGCCGGTGAACAGCGAGCCACTCGAAGGCTGTAAAACACATTGGAATTTTTGTGTAGAAGAAGAAGAAGAAGATCAGAAAATTTCGTAAGAAAGATTCTTGGATTCAAAGTATATTTATAGAGTTGCTGGCATTGTTTCTGAAAAGGTTTGCAACCTTTTGGAAACAACCATGGCTGTTGGAACACGTTGTTTGAAATATTGCGGGAAAATGGATTTAAAATAATCCGGGAAAGAAAATGGGCCTGACCGGATCGGGTTATTCCGGATTGAATTTTTCGTTAATTATTTAATTAAATAATTAAATAATTAAAAGAAATTTTGTCCAAAAAGATTAATCAATCAATCGTTGATAGCCGAAGCCGAAGCCGAAGCCGAAGCCGAGCCGAGCGAGCGACGACGACGACGGCGCGAGGCTTGCCTTCTTCTTAACTCTTTAAGAGCTAGAAGAAGAGCAATTATATATATACCCATCAAAAGCCTTTTCTTCCTCCAATATGGGACAATGTCCCTTTGCCAAGGAGGGAAACTCAAATATTTTATTTTCCCCCCATTTCTCATTCACCCTCTTTAAGCTACACAAGCTTACAATTCCAATAATCCCCCACATGAATTGAGAATGGCTATAAAATAAAGGAATGCCCGGACGCGTGTGTGTTTTACATGCAAGAATTAATTGTACCTAGACAACATAAGTCACACAATTAATCCTTAATCATCTATGGTTCTCACGGTTGTGTTCGTTTCAGCCATAAACACCTCCTGATTTCATGAGTGCTTAGAGAATGGGCCTTTACTTTCATTCCCCTTGAAGCGGCTTACACTTCACACTCACATAGGTGATTTCTAAACGTGTAATCCTATAGACACACTATCTGGTCATATCCTGCCAGACTTAGCAAATCATTAAAAAACCTTTAAGCTTTGTTGACTCATCAAAAAACCTTAATGCTTTACCTCGATTTCTGAACATTGTCTTCATCACGAGAACGGGTTGAGTTATTTGACAATGTTGAACCGTCATTCATAACTTTGTTTGATCCCTTTGAACCTAGCTCGTGGGATCTCCAGTCTGCTAGATAGAGTTACCGCCATGATGA